ATCATACAATATACACCATTTTGTAACCTATTTTTCCCTCAACAATGCACCACGGACATGTTTCCATGTCAACAACTATAGATCTGCAGCACTGTCTCTACAGCCACTGAGAATGCCATTGTCTGGCTGGACTGTAATTTATTTAACCATATCTTGCTGATAGATAATTGGGTAGTTTCTAATTTATTACCATCATCAGGAGAAGTTCAGTATAGTTACTTGTAAAATGCTCATGTTTGCTCTTGCTGGATTATTTATGAGTAAGATTCTGTGATTCCAAGCGTTTAACTTCACAACTGGAAGTTTCTCTACCTGAGATTTAAGTTTCTCTGAGTATCTATAAAGGTAGTGACTATCTTTCTGGCAGGTTTAGTGGCTATCAAAAAAGCAAATCCAGGGCTAGGGTGCCCCATAACAGCGTCTCTGGGAAGAACACTCATTAACAGACATGCAAGTGAGTTGGTGGGAAGGTAGCCAGGGCTTGGGGATGGGGCGGGGGTAGTGGCCTGAGGTCCAGCCAGCTGTGTGCACCCAGCTAAGCTCCCGACCCCCCTGTGCCTCATCTGCCAGCTTGGTCTGACTCTCAGTGACCATGGGAAGACACATGCCTAGGGGACGAGTCAACACTGAGAGTCCATGCAGGATGTAATGAGCACACAGTATATGTCACCTCTGGCAGTCACGGTGGTAACAGCAGCAGCCACCAGGGACGCAACACTGGGATTGTTCTAGTCCTCTACATGTTTGTTTAAAAAACATTTTTTTTTAATGTTTTCTTATTTTTGAGAGAGAGAGGCAGAGAGAGAGAGAGAAAGAGACACAGAATCCAAAGCAGGCTCCAGGCTCTGAGCTGTCAGCACAGAGCCCGAAGCAGGGCTCAAACCCACAAACTGTGAGATCATGACCTGAGCTCAAGTCATATGCTTAGCCAAATGAGCCACCCAGGTGCCCCATAGTCCTCTACATGTTTTAATTCACTAAAGCCCCAGAGCCACCCACTGATGCTATTCTTGTCTCTGTTTCACAGAAGGGAAAGCTTGGCCTCAGAGAGGGTGAGTGACTTGTCCAAGGTCATACAGCCAAGAAAGAGTAGAGCCAAGGTATGGCCCAGATCTGCTGATTCCCCAGCCCATGTCTTATCCCATTTTACTGCAGTAGGTGGCAGGAGAGGAGAACTGCCTCAGGCAGGACAGTGGGGGCCCTAACCCCCTTGTTCCTCCCCACCAAGTCCTAACACTCAGGAAAGACTCCAAATCTAGAAAAGTATAAAGAAGACAGCAAAGATCTCCCATGTCCCCACTGTGAACAGTTTCAGAAACACATGTAGTTCTTACAAAAATGATATCATGCTGCCCATGCTGTTTTATAACCTCTTTTTTTTTTTTTCTTCAACTCTACAACAACTATGAAGTTCTTTCTGCAGCCGGGAATCTAGGGCCACAGCCCCATTTCTAACAGCTGCAGTGGGCGCCACTGTATGACTTCAGTAAACGGATTTAACTCGTCTCCTGGTGATGGACAAATGGGTTATTGCCAACTGTCCTTCCACTGTCAACAATGTTACAGTGAACACTCTCCAGCATGTCTGGATCCCTGTTATACTTCAGATCCCAGCTGAGAGGCCACATCCCTAGAGAGGCTGTCTTAGACTATTCCATGTCATTCAGGCCCCCTCCTTTGTTAATATTTACAATGTCACCATGCTAATTTCCTTCCCTGCACGGATGGAGTCTCTTCTTGTTCACTTGTTTGGTGACTGTGTAATATCTGTCTCTCCCCAAGGCGGTGTGCTCTCTAAGGGCACAGACTAGCAGGGACTAGCACTCAGTAAATGTCCTGAGAATGCAGGAATGCCTCTGGGGCTGGTGCCCTGTCTGCAGAGCAGCTACACCTGCTTCAGGGTTTGGAGACGCCCTCTGCCATGCCATCCTCCAGGCCACATCCCCAATACCAGTTCAGGGACCCACAGATCTGCCTCAGAACTTGATTCCAGTCATGGGCTGCTTGGAGCTTCCATTCCAGGTGCCTGACGTGCCAGGACCCTAGCAGGGTTGTTCTGAAGATTAAGAAAGATAATGGATGTGCTTAGCACATAGTCGGTCTTCAGGAAATGGCAGTTTGGCCCCACAAGCAGTTAGTTCAGAGGCCGGGTCTGACCCTGTTTCACTCAGATGACCCCTTTTTACCTTGAATGATTCCTGGGTATGCCCTGGCCTATCCCTAGGGATGTCCCATTCCTGTCCCTCAACACTTGTTAAATGGCTAAATGCTCTGCTCTGACCCCACGTCAGTCTCCCAGACATACCTGTTGCCTACGGCCATGGACACCTGCCTGCCCTCCAAGCCTTAAAAATGCAAGAGGCACTGACACATGTCTGAGGAAAGGTGGAGGAAGCCCCTGCCCTTTTGGGAGAACTTGGGGTAGTGATGCCCGAATCAGCCTGTCAGATTTCTCATCCCATCTCCCCCACCCAAGTGTTCTTTGACCCCATAGCAAATAACTTTACCTCTCTAAGCCTCGATTTCCTTGTCTGTAAAATGGCCACAATAACAAAATCTGTGAGGATTCAAGGAGATGAGGTAAAATGTTTATTAGCAAAGAGCCTGGCCTTTAGTAAGTGCTCAATGAATATTAGCAATTATTGTTATAATTGCTTTTTAACCTTTTGACGATGAAACATAATACAAAGGGAAAGTGCACAAAACAAAAATGTTGACTGCAATAAATTGTCACAAAATAAAGAGTTGTGTAGCCACCGCCTGGGTCAATGAATAGAACACTGCCTGCTCCTCAGAAACTCCTCCTGCCCCCCTCCCAATCCTTGACCCCCAATCCCTCCTGCCCCCATCCTGCCCCACTCCCAGTCCCATTTCTCCATAAAGCTGCTCCTTTTCCAGACTCTTATGGTGCTGTCGCTATTATCGATAATAATAAGCGCATAAAAGAATGTGTGGCTACTCTGCCCCGACCCCACCGGGCTCCCAGACCCCTGGCCGCCTCTGCCCTAGGCGTGGAGACTCCCCATCCAATTTCCTGACTGTGGCTCCAGCTCTTCTTTAAATAACCAGCTTGTTAGCAAAATAGCAGCAAGTAACACCTCCCTCGCTGCCACCCGAGCCTTCATCTTTCCTACAATGCTGACGGCTGCTCTCCCAACTCGTGCCAAGGAATCCCGTTCTCCGTCACTGGGCCACACACACCAGGGGCTGCCGGCTACGTTCTTTTCCCGGTGGCCACAGTCCTGCCCCTCTGGCCACGCCTGGCCTGGGCACTGAATGGCAATAATTTTCAGGAAGGACTAGAATGTTGACAGATGGGCCCTCTGCCCCAGGTCCATGCCTCAGTCTCCCCAGGCCTCAGCCTCCCACAAGGTCATTGGTAGTTTAGCCGAGATCAGAAGAAAACAAAGCACTTAGTGCTAGGCCAGGCGCATAGTAATTGCTCAAGGAAATTCTCGCTGTGGTTCCAGTTGCTCCTGTTACATATTTAGTCGCTGGGGAGGACATGCAGGGCTTAGGGCATGACCAGGAGTGTTTGCAAATGATTAAATCCCACAGATACCCAGAACTCTCAGATCGAGGTACCCTTATCGTTTCTTTTTCTGCAACAGCTTCTCAGCCAAAAGCAATAGCTAGCTGTCTGTGGTCACTACAACAGGTGGAGGCCAGGCTAGGGGAGTTGGGGAGCAGCCACTTAATAGGGGCATTGCACAGTTATTAATAACGAGGCTGGCACCGCACGAGTGTGCGGTTCCTTGTTCTCGAAGAAGAAGCAATTCTACATACATTACATACAGCAAACTTCATGGGTTTTTTATTATCCTATGACATTTGCATATTATACATATTTACGAGTCTTTTTCCTTCTCACAACCATCCCATCAGGGAGGCTGGGCAGCTATTGGCAGATAAAGAGAATTGAGACCAGAGGGGTCGGCTGTCCCGCTGACCCCAGTGGACTGCAAGCTCTCTGGGATCGGCAGGGACCAGCAGCTGGCCAACAGGCCAGTGGGCTCCTGGGTGGAGGGAGGGGAGAGTACCTTCCCTCCTCTCCCTCTTTCTTCTTTCCACAACTGCTCACTCTGTAACCATTATGTGCCAGGCATTGTGCCAGCTGCTGGCTGTCCACTGGGGACTGAAGCGGTTCTATCTCAAGTTGGAGGAGCTTAGGCCAGACAAGGAGGCAGATCATAAACCAACAGGTCCATGCTGAGTGGTGGTGGGCAACCCCGGGCAAGCCCCTTGAGCGCCTATGAGCCTCAGTTTCCTCCTATGTGAACAGCCTTGGGAGGTGGAGGGAAGATGAGATGCAAGAACGCGGCGAGTGTCAGGCGCTGTGGCCGGCACTGAGTGGGGGCATGCTGTTGGGATCATCTTTGTGTGAAGGACGATGGGACCAGGTGTGGACAGGCTGTGGTGTCCTCGGATGGATGGTCAGAGATGATGCAGGGTGCTGCACCCCATCCCATTTTGGGGTCAGGCAAAGTGGGGACTGGAGGGGTATGGGTGGAACAGGTTAGAGGGGCGAGAACAATGGGGCTCCCCAAGACTCAGGAACTCTGATGGCCTCACCTCAGCCCCTCTGCAAGCCCTAGAACTTCCATGGCTTCCAGAATGGCTCACTGCTCCCTTTCCCTTCCTGAGCCCATGTCACCAACTGCCCTAGCCTCTTAGGTGTGGGAAGCGCTGGCCTTTGATGTGGACAGAGCTGGGCTTGCTGTGCATCCTCAGGCAAAAGGCTTCCCTTCTCCGAGGCTGTTTCCTCTGTAAAACAGGCACAATCACTGTGCCCACCTGCTGGGGTGTTGGGAGGACTGAATAAGACAAGCAGTTAAACTATAAATTGAGCCCAGACATATAAAAGCTCTCACTGAGGTCCCTTCGCCAGCATGTGGGCGCCACTGGGTAGAAGGCTGGGCATCTCCCAACTGTGCAGAGCGTGGGTGGGCGGGTGAGAAGCCCTGATTCTGTGTGCCCAGCCTGTGGACGCAGTTACTTACCAACCAGGGAGCTACGTGCAGAGGGAAAATGGGAACCAGTCGGGAACCAGCAGGCGTCACCTCGGGAGCAGGCACTGGACCAATGGCTGGCACACACATCCCTCTGGGCACTCAATCAGAGGTGTTGGCGGGAAGCAGCGTGGGACGGGGGCTCCCTGGCACCCAGAGAGACCAGGTTCTGGCCACTCAGCAACTGGCAGAGGGAGAGGCACCAGCGTCTGTAGGAATGGGGGAGAATGTCAATGAGGAGGCGCCCAGGATAATCCCTCCACCCTGAAACCCCTGGACTGGCCTTGGGATCTCTGGAGAGGGAGACACCATGGAACAATCATCACAGAAACCCAAGTGTTTGCACAACACTACATTTTCCAAAGCACTCTGGCATCCCAGCTCATGCGGGCCCCCACATTGTTTTTCAGAGGCATATTTACATGTCATGCATATTTACGATGCCTTTCCCACCACCCACAGAATCCCCACAGCAGCCAGGAAGCCGGGGTTCCAAAGGCTCCAATCTTCCCCACCACTGTCTTGCTTCTCCCTCCTTTTCCCTGGGTGGGGGTAGAGGGGAAAGGGGCTGGAGTCACACAGTCCTGAGTTTGAATCCCAGCTCAGCCCCTCGCTCACTGGGCAACACTGGGCAGGCAGGTGCCCCTTTCTGAGCCTCCGTTTCCCCACTTGTCAAGTGGGAATAAGAGTGCCTCCTCTGAAGTCTGCTATGAGGATTAGGAAGGTAACTGCAGAGAGAACACCTGGCCTGGCATATGTGCCTGATGGAGATTTCAGAGAGGCTTTGTCCCTGTCCCCTGCACTCAGAGCAGGAGGCCCTTCATGACATCACTGCCCACCACCTCCCACATAACACGTCTTATGCAAGAGGCAAAGGGAAGCCAGGTGTCCCTCTCCACCCACCTCTCCCGAACAGGTGCTACTGCTCCTGCTTGGAACTTTAAATCAGCAGGAACCAGGCCCTCTTGAGAGAAGGAGAAGGCACCTCCATCCCCACCCACCCCCACCCCCCGCCCCCAGAACCTCTTGGCTACCTTGGAGGCCTCCGTGGAAGCTTTTGCCCTCGGCCCTCTCTTTCTACAGGCGGAGAAACTGAGACAGAGGAAATTGAGCTGATGTGGGGGCACAGAATCCAAGTGGGGCTGGGATCTGAACCCAAGCTTTCCACCTCAGCCCTGAGAGGGGAGACGCATGGGTCAATTCACAGTAGGAATACAGAGTAGGAATACAGAGATAGGGCCAGCTGATGGTGGCGAAGGGTCACCTTTCTCTCCTGGTGACCCTAAGGACCTGGAAAGTCCTCATAACCTCCCTGTATCTGCATCCACTCTGTGCCAAACCCATAACATGCTTGACCTCCTTTGTTCCTCACTACAGCCCTATGGTGTTATCCCTGGTTTTCAAAGGGAGAAACTGAGGCTCAGAGAGCTTCAGGAATTACCCATGGGCACACACTGAGGAAGAGGCAGGGCATCCAATTCTAAGACTCAGCACTCAACCCCAGTGCTGCCCTGCCTCCCCCAGTGGAAAAATCACCAATCAAGAAAAACAGGCATAACTGGATGAAAAATGTTTAAGTAGTAGAAAAAGAAAATACCAAACTCCCAAAAAATTCTGAATTAGTGGATACAAATTCTTAAAGATGCATAAAAGATTTCAAGGCATGCCATAGGGCACTGCATGCCATGGAAATGCAGTGTTTGGGAGGATGCCTTACGGACCACGTTGTCACTTTTAGCCAAAATCAGCCAGAGCCAAAGCAGAAGGAAAAGAAGTGATAGCAGAGGAAGGTGTCCTGTGGAGGGCAGCGGGGCAGGGACCCCAATCTGGGGGTTCCCCCCACTTCTTTGCTGCAGGACCAGAGCAAGTCTCCTCACAGATTCCCCACTCACAACAGCTAGGAGAAACACACAGGACAGTGTCTCAGGTCCCTGCCAGCTCTGATGGTATTCAAGATTGGGACTTCCAACGGGGCTGAACTTCGAGAACATCAAGTTAAGTGAAAGAAGGCAGTCACAAAAGACCACATAGCATATGACTTCACTTATACGAAATGTCCAGAACAGGCAAATCTGTAGGGACAGAAAGTAGATTAGTGGTTGCCAGTGTGGGGCTTGGGAGGGGGTGAAGGCTAAGTGGTTCATGGTTTCTTTTTTGGAATGATGAAAATGTTCTAAAATGGATTGTGGTGATGGCTGCATAGCTCTATGAATATACTGAAAACCATCGACTTGTTCACTCTAATTGGGTAGATTGTATGGTATGTAAAGTCCAACTCAATAAAGCTGTTACAACAATCCAACACTAACAGATTCGGCAACTTCCAAATGGGCAGCTGTCCTCTGGGAACCTGCAGGCCCCTCAGGGTTCTTCCACTATGGCCTGGGAAACCAGGGAGTATTTTCCCAAGAAGCCCCCCAGAACCCTCCAGACCCTCTATCCCAGAGGCCTTTGCACTTCACATCCACTTTCTCCAGGAAGCCCTCCCTAACCTCCCAGCTATGTCAGGTCCCTGGTTACTGGCTCCTAGGGTTCCCTGGGTTTCTCCTTCTCACCACTTAGGCTGATATGAGAAAAACACTTCCACGATTGCTGGCTAACACTGCCTCCTCCATCAGACTGGGAGCTCCATGAGGGCAGGGCCATCATCATTGGTCATCACTATCAAGAGGGCAATGCCTGGCATACAGTGGGTGCTTCAGAAATGTTTGCTGATTGAATGACTCAACATTCCAGATCCTATGAAGCACGCCCGGCTTCCAGTCCTGGGACCACCACATTCTGGCTGAACGATCTTGGGCAAGTCATGTAACTTCCGAGAGTCTCAATGCCTCTTTCAGAGAGAGTGCGTGATGGCATAAAGGGATAATGGACATGGAAAGTACTTTATGAAGTGGCTCCTCCCACAGCTGCCCCTATTTCAGTTGAAGGAACCCACTCAGGCCCGAGCCTCTCTGAACACCTCTCCTTCCCTTACCCCCCGCATCCAAGACATCAGCAACTCCTACTGGATCTCCCTGCACAATATATCAGGAAGCTGACGCACCAGTTGCTCTGCTCCCACCACTGTGGACACAGCCATCATCATCTCTTGACTGGATTATTCATGCCCTCTCTTGTCTCTTGTTTCTGCCCTTGCTCCTGACACAGAAGCCAGAGGAATCCAGTTAAAACACAAGTCAGACCCTGCCCCTCCTCTGCTCTAAGCCCTCCATGGCCTTACTTTACCTCAAGTAAAAGATGATGGCCACAGATGCCACAGATGACCCCTCCACCACCTCCAATTCTCCCCTTTCCTCCCTGCCCACTCCCCTTGCCCCAGCTACGCTGGCCACTAGGCTGTTCCCCAGATATATCAGACATATTCCTGCCTCAGGGCCTTTGCACCTGTTCTTTCTCTGCCTGGAATGTTGGTTGCCCAGATGTCTGCGAGTCTTACCCCCTCACTTCCTTCAGGTCTTTACTGAGACCTGACCTTGTCAATGAGATGCAGTTCAGCAGAGTGGGTAAGACTTTTAACTGAAGAGCATGGGCTTGAGGTAAAAATCCAGGCTCACCATTGAGAGACCTTGGGCAAGTTTCTTAGCCTCTCTGAGACTCAGTTGCTCATTTCCAAAATGGGGGTAATTACACCTTCCTCGTAAGGCTGCTGTGAGGCTTCCATGAATTCAGTGAACGCAGACGGCTTGTGTGCTATCATCACCCCCATCTGCTCCACCTAACATGCCCAGTGCCTGGCCCACCTGCTCTGTTGTTCTCCTTGCATGTGTCACTATATAACGGGGGATGTGAACAAGTAATCTACCCTGATTACTGCCTGCCCCTGCCACTAAAATGCTGACCCCCACGGGGCAGAGAGTTTTGCAGATTCGGTTTATTGCCAGGTCCCCAGTGCCTAGCCCAGCACCTTGTGTGGGGTTGCTCATTGAAGACTTCACTCAACAAATATTTTCAAGGCTGAATAAATATGTATTGACCAAGTGTCGCAAGCTCTGGGTTTCCCTGTCACAGACATTTCTGTCTCCAACCCAGCCTGTCCGTCAGAGCTCCAGGTCGACACAGGCAAATTCCTACCAGCGGCTCAGCCTGCTGCCTTGTGTGGACCTCAGTGTACGGGTCCATGGCCCTGTTTGTGACCTTCCCTGGGAACCTTGCTCTCTTCCAGCATTATCTAACTTGGTACCTGGAACCAGCTAGCCCTCTTCCCACACCTCTTCCTCCTTCTCTCTCACCTCCTTGTATGTAAAACACTAGACCATGTCCTATTTGTTTTGGAAACCTCCTAAACATCTCTCAAATCCCCTTCCCTTTATCCCGAGTCACTGCCTGTCCTGGCCACCATGATCTCTGGTTCAGCCCGCTGCACCTCAATTCATCTTCTGTGCTGCAGCCACGAGGATCTTTTCAAACCACATGTGGAAACAAATGAAAGCCTGCTCTGCAAGCCTGAGAAGCCAAAATCCTCATTGACTCAAAAAACAAACCCACCGGGACTTTTCAAAAGAATTCACCTCAGGGTTCCTCAAATAATGAAAGGCCTCCCTCAACCTTGCCACCCCAGGCCCAGGTAAAATGGCATTTGTTGTACAAAAATTTAATTTACCAAATGGATTTGCAAGGAACCTTTTAGCTCAATACATATTTGTAGAGTTGAATTGAAATAAAAAAAAAAAGTTTAAAAAAAGCATTTATAAAGTCCCACATGCACTGGGGGCTTTCCACACTCCCATGTCTTATTTTCTCCTCTCAGCAAACCAGGCAGGTCTTACTGATTCCAGTTTCCAGATGAGGCAACTGAGGTCCAAGAATGGAGGTTACTTGCCCAAAGTAACACAGTTCCCAGATTCCAACCACCCCCCTCCCCCCCACAAAGTCCTCCCAGGCTCCAGCTGGGTCAGCTGGGTCCAGAGAAGGGAGGTTACTTGTTCAAAGTAACGCAGTTCCAGATTCCCCCAAGTCCTCCCAGGCCTCAGCTGGGCCAACTGGGCCAGAGAGGCAAGCATGCTGGCCAGGCTAGAGAAAAGGTGCTGACCCCCCTCTTCTCTAGCTGACTGCCACAGGCTCTGAGGCCCTCAGAGCACATGGTCATTACTTGTTCATTTCCTGCTCCCTGCCTTTGCCTGAGTGGTTTCCCTGCTCAGGGTAACCACTCCCCCAGCCAGTCAAAACCAGCTTGCCACCCTTCACAGTCCACTTCCAGCACTGAATC